TTCAATTAGCATTGTTGTCCAATGCCATTAATTATGCCCAGCCTTGTAATGTGTTTCACAGAAGTTGATACACTTGAGCTTTGTCTGTGCTGGGGTCGACTGAGGACAAGTACGTCTACTGGTGTGGAATCCAGCCTTTGTGCTTTGCAAAAACCTTCAAATTTGGTATCTGACAGTAGCCTGGAGTAAGTAGTAGCCTGAATAGCCTGCGTTGCAATCTACTGAACAAGGGGAGTCTCTGGGAGAATGATGATCTGGTGTACATGTTTTCAGTGTTTTTGAAGATGAACTGTTTTAGTGGAAGTAATAATCTCCTGCAATTTTCTATTATTTCCAGACTGTTTAAAATTGTTTCATAGGCAGAGAATAAAGGACTTTGTTTACTGTCTTAAAGTAGGATGTCTGATCCTCCTGGGGGAGGTTATTCTTTTATTAAAAAAGATATAAAATAGCTAGTTTGATGGAAATATAACTCTAGGAATTGAAATGGTGATGATTATAGAAGCTGTAGTATTCTAATGCAAAATAAGCCCTAGGAGATATGTGCCCTAAATGGTAAATCACTCTGGTTTTTAACAAAACAAGAATTACTGTTATTTTATGATTCTTATTTTACAAGGTCTTTAGCTGTTTCATCTGCACTTAACTTTTACAGGCTGGGGATAAATTGATTGTTGTTTTGCCTTTTAAATAGCTTGGCTTTTTTAAAGCATGCTGGAGATGCAAGCACAGATCAACAGGATAGGATTCATTTGGTACTGAGAAAAGCCATGATTACTGACACAATATGCAATAACTGGATTGGAATCTGTTCTCATAATTTGGTGGTGTTTTGTAATCTTCTTGGAAGGAGCCAAAGGTTATTATTTTGAAAGGGACCTCATGGGTAATGCTTAGCAATTGGGCAGGAGGGGGGGAGTTATCACCTTGAAATGTGTGTGTTTATTGCACGAGAACTCCTGCTGCCATTTTAGAGGGGCTGTGGGGATCCCTGAGGGCACTGACAGACCTCAGTGGCCCTGACCAGCTTCACATGGGGCTTCCACCCACATTCCTAGCCCAGAGACCTGGGAGCTTTATTTAAGCTCAGCCCTGGGCCCTCAGTCCATGCTTGGGCTATGCTGGAGGAGTACCAGGCTCCAGTTTAGTCATAGCTGTGCCTGTGCCTGGCTGGAGACCCCATTGATCCAGACCCCGACCTGCAGCCCAGCTTCCCAGCCTGACCTCAGACTGCCTTGTCACTGTGGACCTGCCTGGCTGTCACTGGACCTGATCCTAACCCGGACCTGCAGGTTTGCTTTCTAGGCTGACATTGAGCCTCCCTCATCACCGTGATACTGTCTCTTGGTTGGACCAGGCTGCTGTCTCAGGCATGTCCTTGCTCGGGTGCTGTGGAAGCGAACCCCAGCCAGCAAGACCCCTGCCCAGCCATCCGCGGGATCCCCCTCAGGGAGCTGCTGGCCCTTGGTGTTCCCTGCTGCGACTGCTGTGGTTTGGCTGTTGTGCCTCAAGTGTTTCAAAGGTCCCTGGAGGAGGAGGGAGCCAACCTGCAGGAACTGTCAAGGATCCTGATGGTCTCCCATTAAGAGGACTGGAATGAAGCTTCCTTTAAATTTGTTCTTCCTAGATGCTCAGCTGATGACAGTGATAGCTGTGGCATGGCAGATCCCTCTTGTGCTGGGGACCACCCTCTTGTTTGACAGTACGGGAAGGACCACAGAGTCTTGGCCAGTGTGGTAGGAAAAGAGGAATTGTCTGCTTGCTTTTGCGTAGAAAGCCTCCAGCAAGGTAAACGAAGGAGGATGTGTTATTCTAAACTGGAATTGCCTACCTCTAGTAGGCAGGGAACTACTGGTAGGATTATTCATTAGGGGTGTCATGTTCCAGCTCTATCTGGCAATTTGTGTTTTACTTTGAATAATGTGGCTTATCTGCCAAATGTTTGGAATCTGAGATGCTGAAATGTATTTAGCAAAAGAGCGTCCTAAATACAGACTTAGAAGCTGAGCACAGAGGAAGGTGGTTGAAAGGGGTAATGTGTCCCAGTTTCTGCAATTTGTGATGACCTGAAATCCTTAGTGATGGAAACTAAGAACAGCTAACAAAATCTTTGCATCTTTTCTACATTAATATTAGCTTGTGACAACTCCACGTTAGCGATGTGGAGAAAGTACTGGTTTTGGAGATCAAAGAACTGCTTCCTTAAGGTAATTCAGGGAGGAGAAAGCTGGATGATATGCTGTCCTCTTTGCTCACTGCGTTCCTCAGTAGCTCACGTAATAAGAAGGAAGAGACAAGAAGATGCAGTCTGGTTAGTTGTCTGTGTTGAACTTTGCAGGCTTTTGTTCTTTCTGATGGTTAGGAGAGTCTCTTGCTTACAATAGATTTTCCTATAGGAATGGAGATCTGTATCTTATCTCCTTGAATCTTCATTTTAGAAGCAGCCAGAGGATAAAAACTAGCACAGTGCTCATTTAAAGTCAATATGCTCTAGTTTGCAATTTGCTCATGTTTAAGTGCCCAGCTTTAAAGGTTTCCTTTGCCCTCAGGCAGTCTGAATACAAAGGGCGACTATTTTTTTTTCCTAAAGAAAAAGCTTTGCAGAAGCTCAAAGAGCAAAATATTTCTTTCCACCTTCCATCTCCTTGGGTTTGTTTATCACAAGGCAGAGTTTGCCTCTGAAGAATCTAGAGGGGAATGAAGAGACATAAATTCATGGAGTCACCTTAAGATGCAGCTAGAAATGAGGATGATGGATGAGATGTGTGTATGTACATACACGAGTGAGAAAGCCCCACCTTGAAGCAGTTTTGGCATTTGATGCCGTGGAGCTTGTGAGAAGGTTTACAAGGACAAGATGTAATGGAAAAAATCCCTACATGTGACTGGTTTCTTTGCTGTTGGCAAGGCTGGGGTTGCATGAAGATGAACAGAAGTTCTGAGTCATCACTGTATTGCAATATTGTGTAAGTTCTTCTGTTTAGAGGGAAGCTTTACTGTGGGGTGGGGAAGAGAGAGTTGCAGCATTTAGAATGTAGTATCCTCGTGAAAAATGTGAAGGGATTAATATATTTGATCCAGGATCTAGTTTGCCTTCTGAAGCTGTGGACAGAAGACACAGTCTGACATCCGAACCCTACCATAAAGGATTCGGTGTGTATCATAAGTTATTGGCCATAATGATTAAGTGCTGCAGACTGGAAGGAGTGACTTCCTTTAGGATTTCAGAAGCCTTATTCTTGTGGATTGATTCTGTAGCCTAGTTATTCTGTCGTTTCAATAGAAATGGAAGTAGTGCCTGCTTCTCTCACCTCTGGTGGTCCAGCATGTGTTATCTTTGAAGACTGTGGTGTTGTATTTTGACTGAGGTGATTGCCTGAGGCTTATTGTCATGGTCTTGGTTAATATTGGTGCTTACCTGAAAATGAAAGCGGCTTCCTTACTGAAGTTCAAGTTCCAGAATGTCAGAATACAGCTGTAAATAAAGGAAACTGAACAGGGGCATCTCAGCTTGTTTCAAAGGAAATTATAGATCACATGAGGATTAAATGATGCTTTTTTCTGTGGAGCTTAATGAGACCTCAGTACCCTGCTCCCGCTCAGCAGCATAAGGTCACTCAGGAGGATACGGTCCTTCAGGGCTTGCACGAAACATGGCACGAAGTTCTTCATTGGGATGTAATGGGGGGGGAAAGGCTGCTCACAGGTGGAGAAACCTTTGTGTAATTAGACTCAGACCCTGCATGGCAACAGTTTCATCCCGATCATTTTGTTTTCCTGTGATGTGAAAAGGTATACTGAATTTGCCCATGGTGTTTTCTTTAGGGAAAGTGTGTTCACTTTGCAATTTAGGGCCTCCTGTCAATCTTGTGGTTTGTTGTTTTATGAAAAAAAAAAAAAAGTGTTTGTGTATATTTGTGTGTGTGTGTATATATATTTATTAATAAAGGATGTTCTTTGTGTGTGTGTTTGACAAGATGTGCGAATAGAAGCCCTGCTTTGGCTTTGAGGCCTGTGTAGCCCAGTACCTTCAGGGCATGTAATGAAATGAAATGAACAGCCTGCCGTTTCATTTTACATAGTTGAGGATTCATAATGCTAGGGGAAAGTCTTATTTCTTGGTACGTAAGCTGATTCTTTATTGGCCACTTGCTGTGAAACTTCTGAAATACATTCATCTACCAAAGGGGAGCTTCTCTGATTTCTGTGCAGGGACACACAAACGCGTACGGAAAAGGGAAGTTCAGACGTTAGTGCTGGCAAGCAGCAGAAGTATTCTCTTTGGGCAGTATCCCTGCAAGAACTGGCCTTTGATCTACTTTCTTTCTGTTTAGTGTTTCTTTATATTGTCTATCTGTTATAAATTTTAAATAAGCTTATAGCAAGTTAGATCTTACAGACTTAGTGAAGGGAAGATGTCAGAAGGGTAGCATTTCATGTAATTCAGCTATTAATCTCTAGCTATCTTTTTTTTTTTTTTTTAAATTATCATTTCTTTGGACAGTTTGAGAAAGGTGTCAGTTTAATAGTAGGTCTTGATGTTTTATACCCTTCTGTAGTCTGCAACTGAGAGTATTTTATCAAATGGAAATAAGCTTTTAATGGTGTGTAAGATTAACTGCTCTGAAAGCCAATGGTCCTGTTCACTGTGGAACTGAATGAATGTTTTTACAGACAAAATTTCCACTCCTACGCTGGGCATTGAAGAGAAAGCTTAAAGCAGATTTAAATATAAGGTAGTATTTTGTTAGTCTGTAGTAGGTTGCCTATAAATATGAAGTCCATGATAGATGCTTCACATGATTTTCATTTACTAAGCTGAGCCCAGTCATACCAGCATAGCTGCAGCATGCTTTTTTGAGACAATAAATACTTTCTCTGAATCTCTGCTTGCAAGTTGTTGGGTAAAATGTGTTTGTCAATTGAGAAAGCTGAAATCAATAGAATAGTTACACCATGATGGTAGAAGTGAAAAGTGTTTGGTTTTTTTTTACCTGCTGCTTTAGGAACAAAGCCCCAGTAACCAGACATCAATAGCAATGATGCAAGAACCTCAAGAGATGGTGGAAGAGACGGTTACTGTGGAGGAAGACCCCGGCACTCCCACTTCCCATGTGTCTATTGTCACTTCTGAAGATGGAACCACAAGGAGAACTGAAACCAAGGTGAGAGGTTAATAAACAATGAGGAAACTGGCAAAATACCACCTTATCACAAAATAAGAATAGCAGGGAGTAGCATGAGTGATGACAGTCACACTATCGTGATCCTCGGTGAGTTTTGAATGTTGTTTGCCAGCAAAGCTGAGTTGATGGCTGTTTCAGTTTCACTACTGTCTGGTTTGGTCCCAACTAGCTGTGCTGATACAGCTGTTCATGGAGCTGTGAACTGAACAGTAGAAATTATCCAGGTTAACAAAACAAAAACACTGGAACCCCTTCCCAGACCGTTTATTCTTTTAAGATTCAGTTTACTGATACAGTTCACTGATACAGTTCTCTGATACAGTTCTGCAAACATTTGGTGATACGAGAATTAGATGAGTTGGTAGGGCTTGGAGTAAATTACTTTACAGCTGAGGAAAATGTACTTGGAAATATGTCTTCAAATTAGTTATGATCTGTAATAACAATATGCGATTATGCATTTGTCCTTCAGAACAAGAAACATCCTATTGAAATAACACCAGAGCATTTAAATTCTGCTACAATCTTGTGAATGGAATTTTATTCCTGATGCATGGGGAAAGCTGGGTGTGTTCTCAAGTGACCTGTACCTCAGGTTCTGCTGGATTACAGGTTTTGCATATGTTCTGATTTTCCTGATGTCTTTTTCTTCCCTTGTGTAAGATAATTTTGGAGTCTCTGCTGAGAAGGTGCTATATATTCATGGCTGTCTCACATGCCTTCAGGTACCACTGGAACATTAATACACCTTCTCATTTGGGTCTTGGAAGTAGAGCTGATATCTTTGTTAGGTTTTGGTCTTGTGAAAGATTAAGGGTGATTCCCCTTTTAAAAACTTCTGAATAGCACTGATTTAAAAAAAAAGAGAGACTGTCCGGCTGCTTTCTGTGTTAAAAGGAGTTGAACATAGGTCACTGCGTAAATCAGTGTTTATTTTTACTGGTGTTCCAGAATTGTAGTCCTCTTAAGATATCTATTCAGGACATTAGATCCTCAGGTTGGAGTAAATGAACGTTGATTTCCTGAGGTCTGTGGGCCTGTGCGCATTGTTATAAACTGAGTATCTGGTTTAATGTTTGCTGCAATTAGTTAGAAGATAAATATAACTGGCCTATTTTCTCACTGTTGGAAGGTGATAAAGGTCTTAAAATAAAAATAAAACAGACAACAAAAAATCCAAATTTTTATTAGCTCTTCAAATAATCTAATGTATTTAATCTGTTGACTTATTTGAAAGAAATGCTGTTTTCTTTCTAGGGGCAGCAACAATGACAACTGTTATTTACAGGAAGGAAGTAATAAAATTACAGTGGTGATGGACACCTTTTTATATCCACTAATAGTAGTGCATAGTTTTAGGAGACTGTAAGTGCAGCTATGCAAGGGAATAAAATGATAGCTACGACTGTAAAAATAGAGAAGAGGCCATGCAGTGGTCCCTAGATAACAGGACCACATGGAATGAAATAGTTTGTCTGAAATAGTCATGCCACTGATAAAGCTGCGTGCTTGTCATAGCATAAAAGGTGTGATTTTCTCCTATGTGTGATGTACCTGCTATTTTTCCATCTTCCCACAAAAAAGGACAGTGGCAGCTTCAAAACAGGCATTGTATCTGCATATGGGAAAAGCAAATTGAAAAAACCAGCAGCCCTAGAGCTACTGTTCCATTTTGAAGAACGGGGCTTTCTCCTATTACTGGAGTTCATTCCTGGCACTGAAGTGTGTCCGGAATGGAAAGTGCACGGCTGTCTCCTCTGCATTTACATCCTTTCAAATAATGCCGCTGACTTCAACTTACATACCATCTGGAGAAGTTCCCTAGTATTTCATTGCTAAAAAGACCAACTCTTAAAAATAAATAAATCAATCCAGTTGTTGTGAGGAGTGATTCTGAAATGTCAAAATACAGATGGGCTCGGCTTAGCCCTAACTCTGTCAGGGGAGGTGCTGTGACTTTGCTGAGGTGGTGGTTGTCTCTGAAATGGTTTTGGTTTGACTTTTCCTTGTTGTGATAATATGGCATGGATTTAACAGCTCTTAGATATGAATCTGCAGTCAGAGGTTTTTGTTTTGTTCTTTAAATCACATTGGTCTTCAATTTACTTTTTGGTTTTGTGGGGAATATGAAAATGAAAACTTGTCACTGGGGTTTGGTAGCATTGGTTAACTGTCCTGGAGTTAATTAACATCGACTTACTATCACTTCTAATAGGTGGTATCATAGTACTTTCACAGGTCATACTATTATATGTGAGAGCCTTACAGCAAAAATTAAGTTTCTAGTACCCCTGTGCAGTGGCAAAATTCTGACCTTGCTGCTCAGATGAGGATGGAGAAGGAAAGCATTTCTGTGGGATGAGAGATGCAAACACCTTTGTGGGCATGCAGTGTGCAGTAGTAGGATCTTTGGGCCCAGAAACTGCTGTTCGGTGTCTCTGCCTGTTCTCCCCCAGAGCAGAAAAAAAACATAAAAGGGAAGAAAAAAAAATAAATAACCACATGCCACCACTGCCAAAAAAACCCAAACCCAACCAACCAAAAAACCCCCACATGAATCTTGCCTTGCTTTTAGTGTGCAGGTACTTCTGATCCTTGTAAAGGAGCAACATTTCCTGTGGTGGGAATCCTCACATCTATTTTCAATAATATTTAATCTGTTACTTAATAAGGGTAGTGTTTAAAGTTGAGATGGTCACATTGTATTAATTAAATGTTAGGGGGGTTAGGTTTATGATCAGCTTTTTTTTTTTTTTTTTTAAACTTTGAACAATCAGTTAAGTCAAGGTAGCTAGCACAAGTTTTTATGCTCTACACTGCTGTGCTAGCTCTCAGCTACTTTGAGGAAGGGTTTAGAACTATTTTTATAACCTCTGTAACTAGAAGGCTCTACTGGATAGTGCTAGTCACAATCTCCAGCATGTTTATCTTGCAAAGAAGGTGGCAGCAGTGGTTTTTAAGAGCCAAAGAGACCCGAGATGTTTTCCAAATGTATGCTTTCTTTGCTGGATAGCTTATGTGGGGATTAGTCAACGTAATGTCATTTAGTATGCATTTTTTGATTCTTCAAAAAAAAATTGTCATTTAGTTTTGTTATAATTGTATGAATTTTTAGCTTGCTGGAGAGTGGTGCCTTTGAAATTTCTCCTCTAGAAATGAAGCATAGCAAAAGCTGTAAATGTGAATGCTCCTGTAGTCTGTGGTTCCTTTACTCCTCCTTCCCTCATTGTTTCAAAATCATAATTCATAAAGGTTATTCTCTTCAATAGTGTATTAAGTAAACAACCTTAATCTAGTAGCATTGACAGTTTTGCTATGCTTTTCCCCCACACCTTTGAAGATGCATGTAGCAGCGAAGCAGGGAGAAGGTATAACAGAATTTAATATTTGATATTTTAAATAGAGAACATCTGCCTTTTCAAAATGAGATATCTCTGAGTAATTTTCCCCAAACTGTTATTCTCTTAGTACTATACTAAGTCCCTACGTAACATTCACTGCACAAAAGATGTAGCAGATAATTCTTCATTTCAATTTATAATCTCTCTGGAAGCCAAATACCTATCATGCTAAACCAGTGAAAGTCACCTTGGGGAGAGGACTGCCACTTCTTGCCTGTCACTGGAGCGCTGCCATGTGTTGAAGGGAGCCTGCTTGTAAGTGGCTCAAGAGAACTCAGTAAAGCAAATTAGTTGTGTGTGCGTGCTGGTGTTAATGTTTTCTTTTTTCTTTCTTCAGGCACCTTTTATTTTTATCTTTGAAATGTTAAAAGATTGGAGAGATTTAGGCCACTTTTATTTATTGAAAATGATGTTTTATGATAACAAACTGTGAAATCTATCTGTATACAAAGTAGTTTAATTTGTAGTCCATCCATTTGCCTTGTGCTTTCTAATACTCAGCAAGGCCGGATCTTTCCCAACAGCGATGAACTGCTGCTTCCAGTAGCAGCGATGGGAAAGTGCTTGTGACTGAAACTCTTCAGTTGTGATGGTGCCAGGTACCCCGAGATGCAGTCCTTCGAAACTTTGCAGAAAATTCAAGAGAATTAGGTAATAGAACAGGAATGGATTTCAGCCAAAGTTGAGGGCCCTTTCAAAATGTGAAACATTAAGCTTAAAATTGAAGGGGAGAAATTTGAGCTGTTGTTTTGAAAACCTACGGGGCCAGTTCTTACACAGCATTTAATAGAAATGTAATAGTTTCAGCCTGCTTGGGCTGATTAATTTTCATAGTCCATAGTTCAAAAATAACCTCTGAGAAATGTCAGAATGCTTTTATCTTTGTGCATTCTTTCTCATCTGTTTTTTGTTTTATGACATAGTTTTGACAAAATTTTTAGCCCTGTCAGCTTTTATAGGGTACTTAATTTATAAAAAAAAAAGGGCAAAACAAAACCAACCTTGATTACAAAATGGAAGGGAAAATTACAGGTACTATTTAACATGGCTGCATTTAACCATGATAGCTCACTTCATCTGAAATCTCCGTACAGTCTTTCTTCCTCTTGTGTCTGAGCACTGTGCACTTTGAGGGATCCACTTGTACCATCTGCACATGCATCCAGTAAGTCCAATCGTTGGATGTTTTCATGTTTGTTCTCCCATCCTTCAAGACAAATAGAAGGATGAGGGATGGAAAAATACAGAACCTGCTTCAAATGTGTGAATATTTCCTTTGTGTTCTGCTGGGAAATGTATTTCCAGAACCAGAATTAGTGAAAACATTATCATGGGGCCAGTAGGGGGATTATTTAAAAAATTATTGCTATCTGGAGGGGAGAACAAGGTCAGTAACCTTGATTTGTAGTTATATTCTGGGGCAGGGGGAGCAGAAATGAAAGCACCCAGTTGCAGTCTCATAAGATTTTGATTCCAGAGGGCTTGAATAAGTTGGTATATTGGAACCTTTTTTTTTTTTACTGTGATTGAAACCTTAATATAGTTTACAGGAAATAAAGAATTGCAAATATATTTCAAGCATACTCAGACAACCTCTTAGTAGGGAAGAAATCTGAATCTTTCATCTGGTATTCTGAGACTGTAGCACTGAAACAATTGAGCACCTTTGATTTGTAATTGGGCTAAAAAAACCTCTTTGAACAGGTTTTCTTTAGAGATGGAAAGTAAACAGAGGAAGTCAAATTACACTTTTCTCAAAGTAATTTGTATCTCTAAATTTTTCATTAGAACATATCTGTAGTGAGGAGTTCATGCTAATAAATCTTTCTCAAGATTGGGTGCATCTGAAGGATCAGGTGTCTCTCAGATAAGACAGTCTGCTGGAACTCCCACTTGGAATAGCTTTGTTCTCTCTGGCTAATGCATCAGTATTAAGGAAACCACAAAAATGTTGGGAGAGAAGATTACTGTGCTGTCAGCTGTGCAAGACTGCCTGTGTTCTTTTAAGAAATATAAATGAAACATTCCCTTGAGCTGGATTTCCTGAAATAAAGATGTTCGGTTTGTTGGGGGGGGTTGTTGGTGGTTTTGTTGTGGTTTTTTATTTTTTTCTTTGCTTGGAAATCTAATAAATGGACCTGCCTCTCTGTGCTGGCTAATTACTTCCTAAAAGCTTCCCTTTATTGTCCTGTAGGCAACAAAGTCTGTTTATCACAAGATAAATCTTCTATCTCAGTGCCCCTGACAAATGAGGCATGAGTGCAAATACTCTCTCTCAAAATATAAAAAGACTTGGTTTGATTCCCCCACCATACCACCTTTAGCATTATTGAATGCTTTTATGCTATGAGAAATGTGTACTTTAATGCTTGAGTGAAATGTTCCTTTTTATGTCTGACAAGGGGGTTTTGATTGTCCTGATTTTTTTCCACTCGTTAATAGTGGCAGCATTCAGAAAACGATAGGGGTGAAGCGGTGCTAACATTGTGAACTTGTTCTTACATGTGCTGCCTGATGCTAAGTGTGTCATTTGGACTAGCCAAAGGCATTGAAACCTTGGCTATGTTAGTCTTGAAGACAGGAAATAAGGCAAATTTGGAAAAAATTGCAAATTAATCTCCTGCATTCTGTGTTGGTCATAAATTTAAAAAAAAAAAATTCTCTGTAAATACTCTGTAGAGTACCAGAGCATGGTGAAAACCTCATTAAGTGTAACTGGAAAGTCACAAATTGTCTGGGAATTGGTTTTCAAAGTGTTCTGAAATTCTACCTTGTCTTTTTGGTGTACGTGTATTGAATATTTGTAGACAATTGTCCTTGCCATACCATTTCTGCGTTGTGTTACCTCATCCTGTTTGACAATAACAGTGATTCTCAAAGCAAAAAAGTAAACAGTCAAAAATGAGCAAGAGTCCAGACCTGGCAGTAGGAGTGCTGGCTGAAGACCTACAGCAGCGATGTCTCCACTGCAAAGCCTTTGTCCAAGGAACCTGCAGGGCAAAGCCTGTTCCTTCTTTCATGCTGCAGCCAGACGTGGTTTTTATAGGTATCTTGCATTGTCTGATCTTGACAATTTTATGAAAAATGACACAGGACAAACTACACATGCCTGGCAACATATGTCTTGAAAAGAGAAACTCAGAATCAGATTTGAAATATCTGGCTCCTGGTGAGGCACTGCTGAAAGAAAGGGCTTTGTGAGGTTATGTGAGTGCTCTTCCTGGCATCTAGAAAGTTGCCTCTTTGTTCCATCCTGGGCAGAAGTATCCGTTTCTGATTCATCATATTGTTGAAATGCTACCTTCCTTCCTGTTATTCCCGTCACTGGTTCCCTGATTCAAGAATGCGAAGGCCCAGCACTTTGCATCCAGTTTGGTCATTGCTTTGCAAAACTTGCATATTTCAGGCCTGAGAAACGTTGCTTTTTCTACTCTTAGAAGACCACTTATGAACATACTACGTTGAATAAAACTTTTGTTTCAGACTTCAGTAGGAGAATACTGAGCTGTGTTGCCTTGTATATGTCCACTTTACAAAGAGCTACTGTAAGCTACGCAGCTCTCTTTCTTCTCTAAATGCTGTCTAGTTTTATAAATGCCATGGCTGTAGTCATGCTGATAAATGAGTGGAAAGTAGCATATTGTGTGCAGGTAGTAGGCAAAACCCACTGCTGGATTCTGTCACAAAATAAATTTTTAGTTTCTAGTTTCCTTTCTTTTACTTATTAAAATGTGTGCTTTTTTTAAAAAGGGAAAAAAGAAGATTTGGAGGCATGGAAGATAGCGTCTTTCCTGATTTGCTACGGAAATCTCTTTGGGTTGAAGAGGAAAATTTTTTCAGCTCTGGCCCAAATTAGATACTAAGGTCATGCTGGTCCCTGGCTATGCTTTATCCAGCACTGTGATACTGTTTAATTATGCTGGTGGTGGAGAGCCATTTATGCTGCTTTCAGTCTTGCAGGATTTCATTACTTCATTAGGCTGAAGTATCATTTGCTCACAGATGTCTCTAGGAAAAGAAATGCTGTTTGGGTGGATTTTTTTCTGTTTGGGGTTTCTGTGTGAAAACATCTGGCTGGAGGACATGTCTGGAGCCACTTCAAGAGATGTACTCTTAATTATTTTGTTTTAGCAGCAGCTTGGCTAATCTGGTGCCAATCTAAATGTTTAAATCAGAGGCTATAGGTCAAAATATCTATTTGGACTTCAGAGCCATTGAGCAATGCAGGAATACATGTTACAGTTACTGTTTCTTTTGTTGTACACGTTTCATTCTGCGGCTTTCATGAAGAAAAGTGTCATTTACTGATGCTTATTTACCTCTGTAATACTTTAGAAACCCAGAATCTCTCTTAACAATTTTGGTTTGTGTTCCTCTCCTCCCTGTGTGTAACACTCTCCAGTGGATTGATTCTCCCTCTCCTCTTTGTGAGTGTGTTGCTTTGTTGTTTGATTGGGTTTTTTAAGAGGGCAGAAAGTCAGCATTTACTAGGGTTAGGGTAACTTTTTTATAGGTTAAAGTAACTTTCTTAGGGTTAGGGTAAGGATAGATTGGCTTCTGCTGAACTTTGTATTCTCCCGAAAACAACTTTTGCTGGTCACTCTGGAAGGCAGTACAGAAGTTGATGGACTCCAGATACCAACCAAAACAGAAGGTCCTTTACTAGTTTGTAAATAGTAGTGGCTTTTGTCTGGCACTGTTCTACACAGATTACCAGGCCTTTCCCATGAAGGCAGAGTGTTCTTGGAAACTCTTGAGCGGTCTTTGTTCTTGCCCTTTAGCAAGAAACTCTGAACACAAGTGCTCTCTGGACACTTACGTTTCCAGGTTTTGTCAGTTATGTGAAAGAGTCTAATTCTGTCTGTGTTGAAATGACACGTGATTTCTAGGAAGAAAAAAAGATGTATTTGTGTACAGATTTTTCTTTAAACAAGCTGGTCTAGCCTAGTATGTTTAGTGTAGCTGCAGTTCCAAAAGCTGTGTGGCATTAGCGTTCGCTATTGCCAAGTAATGTCACCAAAATAATGGAATAACACCAGCGACATATTGGGCTTGTGTGGTAGTGCTCAGATGTAAGCATATCTTAAAAGAGAAAGTAGTTGTGGTGTCTAAAAGCTAGAAGCCCGAAACTTTTCTGTTTGAGGTCATAGTTTCCTAAATATTACTGCCAAATTTGAGCTCCATCAAGTTACACAGTGGTATAGTTCAGGCAAGAGTATATAACTGTATGTCTGTCAAACTAGAGAATGTGATATGGTATTTATGCTAACTGTGGGAGGACAGGCTGTGGCTCCTCAACATTGTAAAAAGTCTGCTCTAGGAGAGATGCCTTGTGAAAACGTTTTGGGCAAATTTGAACTGGTGAAAGGGCTTTGCACTGCTTCCCTGCACTGTCACGTGGCTGCAGTGGTTTTGATTCGGTAGCAAGAGCCCCAGAGTGCACTTAACTCTGGCTCTATGACCCATCTTTTCAGCTTTTTATAGAAATATTTTCCCACTATTAAATCTTAAACCTAACAGGTGAACTCGAGTAGAGTAGTGCTTCCATTCAACAGGCATGTTGCTGTAGTATGCTTTGTGATGCTCTCTCCCCGTTTTACTGTTCTAGCTCCCTGTATGTCTCTTCACATTGTGCAGCAAGGAGAAAATTAACATATTTATTCACTGCTTCTTCACAGGTTACCAAAACGGTCAAAACAGTCACCACCAGAACAGTGCGTCAGGTGCCACTTGGGCCTGATGGCTTGCCATCCATGGATGGCTCGTCTCCCATGGGCAGCTACACAGATTCAATAGACAGAAGGTACATGAAGAATGGGGAGCGGTACATCACACCACAAGCATCTTCCACGTTAACCAGATCTTACAACAGCTACAATGATTCTTACCCTGAAAGCCATGAAGGCCAGTATCGCCCTTATGTTGCTCATGATGGTTATGGAGATCTATCTGATAACTATGGCAGCTTGTCTCGTGGTGTCAACTACCGTCCTCGCTATGCCTACGTGCCAGGAAACAGTTACAGGCCAGATGATGGTAGCTTCACTTTGCCAAGCAGAAGGGATAACTACGGTCCTATTGCCCAGCCTCAGGTGCCAGTAGGTAGCAGCGTTGACTTGACCCGCTCTCAACCGGAACGCTTCCAGCCAGAGCCCTATGGACTGGAAGATGATAACCGCAGCCTTGGAGTAGACGATGAAGGATATGAACTGGATCCCGATTACTCCACCGTGAATCGGAGGACATCTGCAGGTGTGCCAGAGAGAGGAAGACCTCACAAAGGAAGGTAAAACCCATTTGTTTTTTACAATGCTAATCTGCAGCTGTTTTGCTTAGTTAAACATGTACATTTGAACTCTTAATGGTCTGGTAAGTTCTGGAATTACTTGACATAAAACCAGGTAGAACCCATCATTTTGTTAGCCCATAAATGACTGCAAAATGCACGTGAAATACAGGAAGGAGGGAGGGTAGTGCACAAGAACCCTTTCGCTGTGTTTCTGGACTGCTTAGTTTAGGTTGAATTTAGAAAGAAAGAGATGATCTTATAGAAAAGGGCTAAGCTACTCTTTGTTCCTCTTCCTAAAAAAAAGAGTTGACTGCCCTGTGTTGTCCCAGAGCCCACACTAGCAAGGTGAAAAGAGGGATTTGTAATCCATGAGACTTCTGACAGCTCTGGTTATGTGCACATCTGCCAAACAAAAATTTTGAACAGCTGGCTGGGGTTGCAGACGGGCTGATTCCTGGTGGTGAAGCGATGCCTTATTATGTAAAAGCTGTCTTGCGAGGAGATGTTTGACAGCCTCAGCTCCTGATCCTGTGCTAACTGTGCACCCTCAGCTGCATGACCAGGTTGTGCTGAAGCTCACTGAAATGCTTCAACATTTTGTAAGACCATATCATTATTTTGTCCTGTGCCTATGTTAAGGGAAGTTAAGAGCATCTGTGGTGCACTTGATGTAACTGAAGTGACCAGTCACAAATTCTGGTTCAGCCCCCGTTCCAAGGGATGTTCTATTTTATGCCATATTTTCTGATATTAGTTGTTTACGCTGGGTTCGCAGCTGTCAGTTCTTGCATTTGAAGGAAGGGGGAGGTGGGGGGGAAAAGCTTGGGAAAAGAGTCTTATTACTCAGCTGAAAGTCATGTTCTGAGTAGGAACCTGAAAAACTTGTATACTTTGTTTTCCAAGCAGTGTACAAACTTCTGCATGTGCCTGCATGAAGTCATATCCTCCTGATTCATGGTTTGATATGGATTTAATTCTCATTATCTTCCTTTTAATTCAGAAAAGTTTCTAGAGCTGTAAAGAGTCTGGAACCCACCTGCCTCTGTGTGTGTAGATGGTCTTTAGACTTAATACTGACCAAAGACTGCTTCATCAGCAGTAGTGGAATTTGGGTGGGCCTTTGGAGGGCTCCTACTTGGCAACGCTGTGTCGCTCATGGTTTCATTTATACTTAGATATCTATCTTCTTTCACGTTTCTGGAAGTTCATTTTAAAGTTAAATGGAATCAAGCACTGGCAAATTGTTATCTATCTTTAAAAAATAAAAATTAAAAAAAATAAAAGGTATCAAGGCATATCTCCCAGAACACCTTTTAAGTCCCTTGTGACATCTTTGATCTTGCAAGTTTACCAACCAGTAGAACTCCATCAACATATTGTGGGGCTAAATGGAATACCTGCAGCAAGGGGGTGCCAGAATACTGATCAAACTTTAATTGGTGCTCCCCTGCATCTAAGCAAGTTTACAGTTCTTGTTTAAAACAGGCAGCAATGCTTTTAAAATTTTATTACCATTTTTCAAGCTAGATGCATGATGAATAATTAAATGTATTCTTAGAACCTGCCAATTTGCATTTTTAAAGGTTGGTTTGGTTTTTTTTTTTTTTTAAACATCCCTTTGATTTATTGTTCCTTGCAGTTTGGGTAGGACCAATTCACAATTTTTGTTTTACATTTCTTTTGTTGTGAGTTTTTTCCATATCTAATATGATCAAGAGGCTTTGACAAGTAATTAGCCTGACTGTGGCAGCAAACTTGCTGGTGAGAACATAAGAAGATTGTATGAAGGCCTCTTCCTAAGTAGTTACTTTTTGACATTTCAAAGAAATACTTGAACAATTCAATAAACCTGCGTTTCAGATATGCTGCTGATCTCCAAGAAACTAAAGACTACAAATAGTGCTTTGTATTAGATGAGGGTAATTACTACTTGATTATTCCTCTCTAGGTTTTTTAAAATAAGTTATTCCTTATGAAAATGATTAAATTAATGTGATAAATTGATGGCACTTTTGATTTTAAAAAGCTTGTATTTGTGGAGTAGGTATAACAGCAACAGTGTTAGAAGCTTTTCCACATCGCACCGACTTTCAGCTTGGGCATCTTCATCATGTCATGAACAGAATTCTTCTGTTGGCTACCTCGCTGCGGAAACTTAAGTTATTCTCTCATTTTCTTCCCAGTAAGTGCTACCCTCATTTGTTAATAGTTGAAAGGTAGAATAAGGATCCTGACTGTCAGTTACTCATTTGATGCTCTTCTGAGAGGACGGAATGGAGATTTCTCATCTGAATCTGTGGCAGTAAGTCTCACCCTCTGTGTGATAAGGAGGCAACCCAGCTGTGTCTGGAGGGGATCCTCATCAAGGGGATTACAAGTACAGATTGGTCTTTCCATCCCTTGCCTGCTCAATTTGATCACAGAGATAAATGTCTATTGTGCTCTCCTTCTGTCATCACCAGCCTCATTTTAAGCTACTTATATTTCATTTTAAATTGGGGAAAAATGTGCCTCCTCACAAACATCTACAAATCCAGATAAATGCACAAAGGCAAATATTCCCTCTGTTGGCTCTTCAGTGCTTGTACCTGGGTTTGTTTCTCGTTTTCTTTTACACTGAGTCTCTGCTGCAAGATATATTATTTTCTGCAAGAATAATACCTGGCACTTAATGTCCTTTTCCTCAGCATGTGCTCTGGTTTGATTTAAGTCAGACTGCATAACAAATTGGGGTGAAAGGTATTTGGGGTGTATAATACAGATTTACTATTACTCAAATTTACTTATGAAGGTATTTACACATCTTTAATTGATTTTATGCCCTTTTTTCTTTATTTGGTAGGTTGCCTTTATTAAATTAGGAGGGTTTTTTATTACAGTCTTTAAAATATGTAATCTTGCAGTGTTGCTAGGTGTTTTATATACAGTCCTTTTCAAAAGAGAAGCAGGAAGTACTGAATATTTTTCATTCACAAAACACATTACTACTACTATTATTATTATTTGAATTTTTTTTAATCATTAAATTGAAGTCAATACAAATGAATAGAAAAAAACTGGCAAGTCATAATTCATTCTTTTAAATTAACTTCTGTTCAACTTCTCATTTCTTGCCTCTGTGGTAACTTCTTTCCGGAGTGGATCGCTACAGTTTGTACTTGTGCTAGCATTCATGGGACTTCTTTTTCCCTAACAACTCTGGAGCAGCTTTTGCCAGATGTGGATTTTTAACATTGACTAAATCCACAACACAGTTTGCTGCTGTTAAATTTTCTGTGTCAGAAGTCTGATCTAAGACACTGAGACTATATTTGGTGGTCACTTCATGGTCCAAATAATAATTTTGACCAGATTTTCAATTAAGTAACAGTAACACTAGATCTCTCTTGCTTCTGTTATGTATAGACAGTGCAAGAATATTGATATCACATACATGTTAGTCATATTCTACTTCTGGTGTCTTTTTTTCAATCTAGAATGTAAAGGCTTTTATTTGTAGATAAATTTTCCGTCAGCACTTCTGGCCTAACTTCACCTATTTCAAGTGTGGTCTCATGGCAGCACCCATGGAGGCATCCTTAAGGCTCAGGAGATATCCATCACTGTAGGTTGGTCTCTTTGGTTTAATGACCAAGCGTAAGTGTAATACCCAGCTGTATGGAGCGTGGGGATGTTGTCTAGGTCGTGGCAGGAGCATACGGACATGCCTGGGCAGAACGGGTTGAAGAAAAAAATGCAGTCAGTTTGGAAAAGATTGGGGTTATTTTTTGGCTCCTCCTAGAGTAAGTTAGTTTGTTGATCTTCTGGTAGCAGAAGACCCACGTATGGCTGAGTTTTATGTGGCAGGCAGCAACCTAAGTGAGCTCATCTGTTAGCAGCTTTTAGGTGGTTCCAGTCAAAGGGATTTCGGTGTTTTAACCATAGCTCAGGCGTGTCTCGGCAGAGGATTCAGTCCAGTTTTGAATCCTCTTGTGTACCCTCCTATCAGGGAACAGAGGCTGGCAGAAGTAGGACCTCATACTGCAAAGTAGTTAAATTTCCTCTTCAGTGGTTGGCATGAAGTTCCCTACTGAAATCCTAAGCCTTTCTGGTCTTTTATCCTAAGCAGACACCAGCTGCAAACTCTGATGAATGTAACACTTGTATAAATTGTTGAGGATTAAATGTGTAAATCCTTCACCTGTTTACTCAAATGTCCCTATGTTGAAGCCACAAGGAAGATGATAAATCCACAAGCTCTCTCCCAGATTTTGTCTATGCTAGAATGTGTTTTGATCAATTCCCTGAGACAGGTGATCAGTGAGACCCATGGCATCCTAAAAAACTCAGCTGCCTTGCTACAAACAGATGGAAGGCAAGCTGCTTGTAGTCAGCAACTCTGGCATACTACCAGATCTCTTCAGTCCCGTGAGTAAAGAGCTCTTGGGCTCCTGAGCACAGATGACTGTATCTGCTGAAGCTCTCATTAGTCCTCCTCCTGTGTCAAGTGGCTTGCCTTTCCAACGTAGCTGCTCTGCTGATGTGAAAATGAAAAATCACATTTGGCCCCCCCGGTCCGACTCAGATAATTTCTTTTCTCTCTCTGTGTAAAAGTGTTGCTGACTTTACTCATTTGTCTTCAGAAACTGAGTGTGTTTTAACTCCCTGATAGATACTTGCTTTTGACTTCTTTGCTCTTTACCTTGTCTGCACTTCTCTGGGCCCCAGACCCCCCGTTAAAGGAGGGGAGATGGGACATACCTGGGCCAGACCGTCCTCACTCACACTGAGAGTATGCCAAGACAGTCAAAGTCTTTGGGGTAGTTCTGCATTGTGCTGTCTGATCAGAGTTATTATGGGAAACTGCTTCCCTTTGATGCTGTGAAGCAATGGCAGAAATGATATTTAGAGCTTCCCTTGTAAAATATTTCAGGATTCCTTTCCTCCAATTACAGTGTGGGTTGTTTTGGGCTTTTTTTTCCTTTTTTTTCTTTTTTTTTTTTTTACCTTTTCCAGACTTGATCATTGTATTTAGTCATGTGAATCTGAATTGGTGTGATACTTGCCTTCGCTAAGCTTTCTTGTACAGCTCTTAAGATCACACCAGGATCTCAGAGTTATTCAGGGTCTTGAAGGGTCAAGTGTCCAGATGTTATCTTTGCTGCCAGGTAAAGTCATTGGGTTTTTTTACTGGTAAATTAACCAGTGGCTCTTGACAGTGTTTCTTCCTACAGCAGTATGTTGGATCTGTCTGACCAGTGTGGGCTTATTTCAGCAACAGTGTTTCTTGGGTTCATCCTTTCTCTACAAATACTTGAGACACGCTGTCTTGTTTCAAAGTAGCTGTCTTTGTGTACTACAAAAAGTCTAACATTGCATGTTAGACGTGCAATCCTGTGTTTTCAGTAAGGAAATGGTCCAGGAGATTCAGGTTGAGATTGGCAGGAGCACAGTTATGAGTGAATGGTTTATGTAAGAATGGGACTGTATGAAAATGCCAACTGTTGTTAGAAGTCACTCACCAATGTCTTTGTGGTTCAGGGTCTGTTTCCTTGAGGGGGCTTTGCTTCTGCTGAGGGGCTGGGGCCAGCAGTATGCGCTGTGGTCACCACTTCACTGCAGAGCAGTAGCTGGTGGGTTCTAAGCAGTGCTGCCCTCCCCACCACCACCTGCGTGATTCCTCCTAAACCATCTGCAGCTCACCGTACCCACGGCACTCAGGAATGCAACCTCTTCCCTGCAGCATGAAACACTCAGCGTCTTCCCGTATCCTGTTTTACCCCAGTTCTGTGTCCTGGGGATTTCATCAGAGAGGGATCATCAAAGGCAAGGATCATCGAAGCGTATTGGCTGTCTTTGGTGTATCAGTAGCTTTGTATCAGAACGATGGAAGAAAAAACCTCTTTTTTAAAAACTGTGTTAGAACAAGTAGCAAGTTGGGATGTGATCTTTTTTCTGTTTTAATGACTGATTTTTCAGGTGTTCACATTCATATTTAATAAGTAGCTAGTGATTGACAATTTAAAAAAAGTATTGTTGATATGAGAGTTAGGTCGCATGCTCTCTTGTCATGACAGTGTTACAATTTAATGTCCTAACTCTGAAGGTTTATTTTGGGCAAACGTAATGAAACCAAGGAGCTTTGTGTGGCATGGGGGAAAGGATAGAGCCTGAGGAACATGGGCCCATCTATGTGGTTCTATTCGGAAGGCTTTGCGGAAATAATGCAAACAAACTGCATCCCAAGACAGTTGTCTTTGTGTATTTGTATGGATGAGGAGAGAGAAACTTAATTGTGCAGGTGTAATTGAGGTGGTGTACAGTTATCTTGTGGGCACCTCATAGGACCGAGACATGCTGAATTGTGAGTTACCAAGTCAAGCAAGCAACAGCTATGCAAAGGGCAATTATTAATCTTCTGCTACTTTTCTTTTATGCAGTCAATAAGAATTTAACATGAGGATGAGTTTGAGAAATGAGTTTGTTATAGTTTTAATGCTGGTTGTCCCAAATTTGCGTATATAAAACTAGAGTTTTGTTTGAGGAGTACTTAAGGGATTTTGCTATTACTTCTGCCCTGTGTATATGCACAAAAGTAAACCTTTTCAATGTTGTGACATTATTTTTGGAATGATGGAAACAGCTTTGTTCTGTAATAGAAAATAAAAGGGCTGTCCAGACATTGTAAATTACTGTGTAGAGCAAGTACTGAATTATACATACATAAATAACTACATTGATAAAAGAATTCCTTCAGATTCATTCTGAGTTTTGGATACTGGCCCATTTTTATCCTTTCATTCAGTTTATGGTTTAGAGCAGCAATTAAAGCAACTTAAAGTCAGTAGAGGTGCTTTTAACATTAAAAGCATTAATTGTACAAGACTAAGTTCAGTTTCCACCTCCAGTTGCTCTTCTCCCCAGAGTCTAGTTTAATTAGCAGTCCCTTTAGGACAACAGCAAGCTCCATTTTCTCTCTGAGTTCTAATGGTCTATACTTCCTGCAGCATGATGTCAGAGATTGTTCAGTAGCATCAGTCAGTGCTTAAAATGAAAGTTTCTAAGAATCATTTTGTAGCAATTAAAACTGCTTGCTTGACTAAGATAATGACAATATTGAGATAGTAGCTAATCTGTCCAGGAAAAAAACAGTAAGGCAAAAAGGTGCTGCTGTTTAAAAATAAATAAATAAAAATATATAAGAAATCCGTTTATGTTAATATTAAGTGTATGTGCTGGTTTTGGCTGGGATAGAGTTAATTTTCTTCATAGTGGCTAGTATGGGGCTGTGTTTTGGATTTGTGCTGAAAAGAGTGTTGATAACAGAGATGTTTTCGTTCTTGCTGAGCAGTGCTTACACAGAGCCAAGGCCTTTTCTGCTTCTCACCCCACCCCACCAGTGAGTAGCTGGGGGTGCACAAGGGGTTGGGAGGGGACACAGCTGGGACAGCTGACCCCAGCTGACCAAAGGGATATTCCATACCATATGATGTCATGCTCAGCACATAGAACTGGGGGAAAGAGGAGGAAGCAGGGGATGTTCAGAGTGATGGCATTTGTCTTCCCATGTAAGGGTTATGCGTGATGGAGCCCTGCTTTCCTGGGGATGGCTGAACACCTGCCTGCTGATGGGAAGCGGGGAATGAATTCCTTGTCTTGCTTTGCTTGCACACACAGCTCTTGCTTTACGTGTTAAACTGTCTCAACCCACGAGTTTTCTCACTTTTACCCTTCTGATTCTCTCCCCCATCCCACCAGGGGAGAGTGAGTGAGCAGCTGTGTGGTGTTTAGCTGCCAGCTGGGGTTAAATCACAACAGAGTAGTATTAGAGGGAATGCAGGATGAAGAAGAAAAATCTTCTAGACTTGAGGTTTAAACAGTGGGATTAATTGGAACTTTGATTCAGCTCCCCAGTGGGTCACCTCAGCTCTTCATCCTTCTCAGCCAGGTTAGCCAGCTGGTGTGAGCCTTTGGGGCACAGCCTGAGAGAGGATGGATTGCAAAGCTGGAAGTGTCTGTGGGAGTTCATAACGGTTAGCTGCAAGTCACCTTATTGCCGTGTGCACTTATTCACATAGAAAATTGAAGAATTTGTGACCAGTGGGTCACTGTGCGCAAGCTTCAGATTTCCTTTTGTACTTCGCCTAAGGACTTTAGTGTCTCTTGGATGGGTGCACTGAATCTCTTCTGCCCGAACTATGCGTGTTCTGGAGGACAAAAGGTGTCACTTTGAATAAAGGATGAAGTATCTCAGTGAATCTCAAAAACAAATTCTGAAGTTGTAAATGCCTTCCCTTGCAAATCTCTTGTAGAAATGTTCTGTCTTTAATAGCTAGTTGTAGGAAGTGATTTGGTGGGGGGAAATATTTTTTGTGAAGGTTAGAGGTTATAGTTGCAGTGGTGGTGGTAGTAGTTAAAGAAGTATTTGTCAAATACTTATTTTTTTATTTTTTTTTATTTTTTAGGAATATGGGCATGTGTAGTGTGAGAATGTACTGTGTTAGAATATTTTCAAGTCTGTTGATTGCAACTTTGCCCTTTGTGTGAACTGAGAGCGCAATATGTAAATAGGTGTTCTAGCTGGTTGTGACTGACCTTACTTCAGTTACAGTGAATTATGGCACAAGGTGGATGCTGTTTGTTCTAAAGCTGTAAATGGTCTTAGGAGTGTCTGACATCCAGGTTAGTTGCCGACCTGGGGAGGAAAGCTTAGAATTCTCAACTTGTTTTGGATATCCAGCGAATTTTTCTGGCGTTAAAAGTTGGACCCAGATTTCTTGACGATCAGCCCCTTACCTGCATGCAGAATGACTCTGTGTAAGATAGACCTTTATTGCATGCTTGGATTCAGGACTTAGGTTTTTCCACCATCTTTGACATTGTTATGTATATTGATGAGGTCGGTATACTCCTGTGAGCATCACCATGGAAATGTAGTGGAACATCTCAGACTTGCTGAAAAGTGTCTGTGGTCTCTGCCCAGGCCTCACATGCCTTGAATTAAAGTTTTGGTTTGTCATAGAAGTAGCGGCATTAATGAAGCTCAATATTTCCTACTAAATGTAATCCAACTCTATCATAATTGTTTTGCTAAGTGACCAAAATGAAAGCAATCTGTTTGATGACTTGCAGTTCCTGTCATCATATTATTGCTAGCCAAATACTGTGCTGTAATCCCATCACTGCTGAGTATTCAACTATGGTTGATTTTCAAGTTACTACAAATAAATTATTAGAAAGTGTAAATATGCTGCCTCTAATGATGTTTGTGATATTAAAAGGTTTGCTCATAGCTGAAATCTCCATGCTGAGTCAGAGGTACAGAGTGTTTAAATGTGGTGTTTTGTTTTGTTTTGTTTTTTCCCCCCCCTTTCTTTCTCTTGGAACTGTTGCTTCTTACAGGGGCTACGATGACCCTATCGAGACAGAGATGGTTGAAGAGAGGATCCCTTACCTTCATGGTGGCTACGCAGCACCACTGGCACAGCCAGAGAGAGGAAGCATGGCTAGTATTGACCGTCTGGGGAAGCGTTCCCCCTCTATTGACAGCATTCGTAAAGACCCCAGGTGGAGGGACCCTGACCTCCCTGAAGTAATCGCCATGCTCAGCCACCCTATTGATCCAGTCAAGTCCAACGCCGCAGCCTACTTGCAGCATTTGTGCTACGAGAATGATAAAATCAAAAAGGATGTGAGGCACCTTAAAGGAATACCTATCTTGGTGGGCCTACTTGATCATCCAAAGCCGGAGGTCCATCGTAAAGCCTGTGGAGCTCTCAGAAACATCTCCTATGGGAAGGATAATGAAAACAAGGTGGCTATAAAGAACTGTGATGGGATCCCTGCATTGATCAGACTATTGCGAAAAACAAATGACATGGAAGTCAGAGAGCTAATTACAGGTCAGTGTCTGTAGTTTCTTTACTGAATTATTCTTTAGAAGAGTTTTTTTCAGCTTCAGGAACAAGAATTTCTGGAGATTAGAGCATTGAAGGAGAATTTAGATCACTGGCTGCAGCTGTTTCTTTAGCCGCACCATGTTTGTGGTGTGAGAAAGCCTAAGGCAAACATGCCCTTCAGGAGGAAATTGAGATCATCTGTGTATGTAACACACTTGGGTTTCCCTGGCTGCTGAGAGATGGATGATGCTTCTTGGATGTAGCATGCAACTGCATGTGGCCGAGTTACTGAAGCCTAAATGAGTTATAGCATCTTCATTGACAGGTAATTTGTATTGCGCTTGCCCTCAGTGTGTTATAATCGTGAGGTAAGATATGCTAATCTAAAACTTTCCTTGTTAATCTCTTATAAAACAATCCTGCTGCCATGTCCCCACTCTTTCATGTTGATAGAACAGGCAGTCTCCTCAGGAACACTTGTAGCCCCTGGTACTGGGGATTCTGAGGCTGTATATAAAGTTGCAGCACTTCTGGGCTGGATAACTCAGATTTTAAGGAGTGTAGAGTCTGCTGTTCAGATGCTCTGGACGTGGAGTTTGCTTGTTGCAATCACTGGAAAAGGGAGAATTAAATTTTGAACTTACTGAGTTTGTGCACACTTTGCAGGGAGTTTTTAATCACTTAACTCCATTATTCAACCTGTTTTTTATTTGAACTTAGTCTTGGACATCATCCAAAAAGAGTAATAAAGTATATGCCAAGTTTCAAAGTTCAGCTATTAAGTGGAAAAGGGTGGAAAAGTATGTCAGCTCTTAAACTGAGGAGAAATATATTGTTCTTCAGTCTCCCATAACTCATGAGGAGTGAAATGGATTTCCCTTTTTCTTCTCAGAAGCAGCAGGGGATGTTTGGATGAAGATCAAGGCAGTTGCAATGAATTTCAGTGCCAGAACAGAATTTTTCAGAAAGTTTTGTTGAGTGCAAAAATGGGTCCAGAGCAGAAACTGTTTAGCTACCTTATCAGTGTTGGGTTCTTCAGGCAGACCCTGTTGCAAATATGGATTAAGCCATTAGAAGTAAACATCATAATTCTATAATCACTTAAAAAAATTATAGTAGGCTCTCCAAGTTTTTACTGGTAATCATAATTCTCTGGGATGAAGAGTGGCCTTGGGTGTTCCAACTGTTCTTCCCCAGCCATTGTAGGATATTTTGCAAACTAGATCTAAATATACAGTGTAGAAACTAGCAGGGATATTTTTCCAGTCTTTTTCCAGTGCACTGGTAAAGGAGGGCTGTCTGTTTTGTCAGAGATGCTCTAAGTAGTATGTGTTGGTTGTGCTTTGATTCCTGTCTGTGCTTTGTCTCTTAACGTGGAAACTCTGTAGGTAGTATTTATATGCTATTTGTTGTACTCATTTAGTACGATGGCTGACTTAAATTTATTGTTATTTTTTAAATAAAGAGTATCTGTTTATCTACTGTTCTAGTTTACTCAGAACTCATTTCTGGAATGCTGAGAAGGAATAAATGTATTTATTTAGATTCAAGAAAGGAGAAGCTAGTCTATAAATTACTCTGAAGGAATATCATTATAATGCTAAGTGGTGATCAGTCACTTCTGAGATGGCAAAAACAAACTGGGTATTTTCCCTTTTTACTTTAAATGGCGATTGCTTTGACTTCCAGTTGATTAATTAGTTTTACAGTTCAAATGTGTTTTATTTGACAGTAGCTCCTGCTAATTAAATATAGTATTTTTATTCCACTTTGGGTTTTGCTATTTAAAGCTCTTTATTTCCCTTTACTGAGAAACACCAGGAATACTGAGGGCATTAACCTAAACAGATGTCCAGCAACAGATGATGTGCATTTAATCTCCACCTAACCAGGAATAATTTCATTCCACTTCTAAAATGATATCACCAGATCCGGTGTGAGACATCCAAGCATCAATAGAGAAGAGAAGAGTATTCCAGCAATGCCTCTGTGACTGATGCTGGTGTACTTGCAGTCAGTGTTCAAAGCCTCGGCTGATAATGTGGAATTGTCCACTTGAAAAATGAGCTCCAAAAGTCAGCAGAGAGAAACAAGAGCCAACTCAAAGTGCAAAGGGAGCATTCAGCTGGGGCTGCTACAAAAGGACTGTGTTTTGCAGCCTCAAAAATTCAGATCACAATTCTGATGTTCTTGTGGTAGAAATCTTGACTTCCTATCTGGGTACTTTTCCCTAGTGATAAACCAAAGTCTACCTTTGCCATGAAAGTTTTTCATTCTGTCTGGAGAGAAATCTCTGAGGACTTCTGCAGCAATGCAAAAAAAAAAAAAAAACCAAAAAAAAAAAACCCCAGCATACAGGGTTTGCCTGTTTATTTCTTTTAACAGGCTGCAAATTCAAGTTTGGTATGATACATTGACTCCTCTGTGGTTTAATAGTTCTTTAATTCAATACTGACTGCTTTTTGAAAGCTGACTAATCATCAGCTGGTCATCCCAGATGTGGACGAATGATAAAATAATCCTGCTTTCCAGAGAGATTTAAATAATTTAAAGACATTTAAATATTTTAGATGTCTGAATTTGAAAGCACTTCCAGTCTTGAAGTTTTGCTTCGCTGGGTGTGGGACCCTGCCTGCCTGCAGGACAGGAGGTATGTAGGAGCATACAATAGGACCCGTTATTTGCAGCTGGAGTGGGTATTTTCTGGCAAAAGAAAGCATCATTCTCATCTAATTTGAGAGTCAGCCCTTAGCTTTAGAACAGCTCCAACGGCCTCTCATTAACTTGGTGATCTGATGCAGCAGCCACAGCTGTCCAGAGCAGTATGAATCAGGCCAGCCAGCTGGGTCTGGTCAGTGGGTTAATGGAGTGGGGAAAAAAGCCACACCGATATGTTAAAACCGCATAAGAGGTAGATGCAGTGGCAGGGGAGCATGAGGGAGGAATCAGATGTGTGACGCTCAGTGCTGAATGAGTGAGACTTGACATGTCAGAAAGTGTGTTCACATGACTACTTCCCAGAATATGTGTTTTGGAGAACGCAAGTTAGACAAACGCATTGACATGTAATTTTGGAAGCAGGCTGAGTATACTGATACAACATTACTGCCAGATTAAGCAGGTCTGTAGACTTTTTCTTTCAGATAGCACTCGTTTTAGCAGAATTTGAAAACCTTTGCTGGGTTACTGCCATGTCTGTTTTACCAGGCATTCTTGATGTATCTGCAAATGGTGCTAAAACACGATGTCCCTTAAGGTAAGACAGATACGCAAGGCATGTATGTTAAAATATCTTCAAAACTCAAGATACAATCATAAAATACCACAGATCTCACTTTTCTTTTTAAAGTGTGGAGTTACAGAATGTCTCCCATCTACTGCACCGAGAAAAGCTTGATTTAACTGCCAGAGTGACCATAAGTAAATCATGAGTAGAGTTGTGATGAGAAATATTCCAGAAATCCTCTCTTGTATCCCTTTCTAGTCTTGGAACTGTACTACTGATCTTTCAGTGGATCATTTTCTTGAGAAACTGAGAAAAATGAGGATTAAGCTGATAAGGAATTAAATCCGTTCTGATTGGGAAAGTTGCAAAAGTTTTATCTTGAGTGATAAGGGGTTTTTGTGGAACAAATGTTCCCATCAGATATGCAAGACCAAAATTCCATTACTTTCTTTGAAAAGCAATCAGAAGTTGGTAGCTTTAATGAATAATTTTGTTCTTTGTGAGAACATAAAAAGTAATTTTGTTGTTTAACAACATTGCACTGATTTTTAAGTGATGCAGAACATGATTTCCCTGATGCTGTATGTTGCCAGACTGGCTTTAATTGAAAAATGATTGACCTTCAAAATGCTCTGCAGAGGAAATATTTTGATCTAATACTATAATAGAAACTTGCAGATTGATCAGCTTTCTCAGAATTCACACCTTCTGGGATTTATATATGCTGAGATCCTGTCAGCTGATCAGGCACTAACTTCCGTTTGAAGTACCATGCCGTCTTGAACTTTCTAATTACAGATGAGCTTACTCCTTCCATTTTCTATTCGAAATCTTGTCAGAAGGAGGTCTCTTCTCATGGTGTATTTTATGTGAGACAGTAGTTCATGCTGAGATTCCAAACTTGACCACTACTTAACTTGAAGAAGCACAGCTCCAGTCTTCAGCACTTAGAATGGTACAAACAAGCCTGTCACGTACAGGGCCAACGTGCAACAAGTGAATGTAATGCAGAGAACTTTATTTTCCCAAAAGCTAAATGATTTAGTATGGACCATAGAAATAGAATTCAACAGCTTCTTTGTCTAACTTCTTGGTGATGCTGGATTTTTGCAAGTAAGCAAGCACAGCAGGAAAAGATTTCCCTTGGATTTCAGAAGATAATAGCATGTATGTATTCAGCCACAGTTTCTTTAGAAATCTTTTCACAGCTCCAGGGAGGCAGAGATTTAGGAAATTATGGCTGTGGCCCTAATCACTATTAATATTACACAAATTGTATAGCTATGTTTGTAGCCTATGGTAATTTTTAATATATTTTTACAATAATCAGTACTTTTGAAATAAGAACTTGTAGCTATTGTCCCTGCTTAACATGCTGAAAGAGTAGAGGTAATGGTTGTAGTTAGAAATATATAACTATATTACAAATAGTATTTATGAATAAAATATTAATCATGATTGTGATCATCTTCTGTAAAGCAATAGTTCTTTTTTCTCTAGTCCTAAAATTCATGCAGTGTGGTCACAAAGGCCAATACTTGCAGGGAAAGTGCATGGAAAATTTAGATAACTTGATTTCCCTTATGCTGCTGTGTTAGTGACTTGATTTCTCTTGAGTGCTATTCATTTGAATTGATTAAACTTAGAGTTTTAAAAACAGTGTTTCCAGCTTGTTAGATCGTTACTGTGTTATGCTAATAGAGGCAGGGAATGATTTTTAAAGATGGATGTCAAATTTAGAGGGATTTTAATTTTTTTAATCTGTTTTTATTCAGATTTTCTCACACTACTGCTCAAATCTACAGTCTGATCTGAATTTGTTTTTTGGGTTTGTTTTTTTTTTTAAGTTTCTGTGTCTGCCACTATCTGTGTCTTTTCCATGGAATTTGTTTTCTCAAGAGCTGAAAGGATGCTGGGATTTAGACCTCTTTGTTTTATGATTTTGAATAAGAAAAGTATATTGTCACTGTTTATGTTCTGCATCCCTTCTTGTGCAATATTTTCCCACTGAAGTCAGCCTCAAATCTGAATATTTTTTTTTCTCTGCCTTTGGAACCACAAGATTCCCTCATCTCTGTTTATCTTGGGCTCCCTTTCTGTTAAGTGCTGCGCATTTTCCTTTACTGAACGCTGTTCAACAGAGGGATTCTTTTGGTTTTCCTCCTGCGGCTGTCAAGAAGAATACTATACATTTAAGTGGTTTGACATTTTTGAATAATTTGAAGAGCTTTGTGCTTGCTTTTTTTTTTTTTTTTTTAATAGTAAGACTGTCTTTTATTCTTCACAGTTTGTTGGTGTTTTCTATGAAACATTTGGGAGATGGGAGGCAGATGAGCAGTTGAAAAGCTTGTAAACTCTTGGGTTTTTTCTTCAAAGAGGATGGAGGAAAGGCATTCTGTTTAACTTAATGACAATATAGGATAAGAGGGAGTTTGGAGATGATGATTTTATTTTATACATTGGGGTTGAAGGTGTTGATATCTAGACACAAATCTCTAAGTCTTAAGCAAAAAAGTTTGAGCACTGGGAAACTTTTGTACAATCTTGTAATGTTAGAGCTCTTGGAAATTTTGTAGGTATTTTTGGCAGCAGTGAAATTTGCCCTTGTAGTTTGACTATAGAGATAACAGATTATGTCACTCCTCCAGGCAAGAGGAAAAGGCAGAATGTCATTTCAGGTGCAAGAGTAGTATGTGCATTTAAGGAAAGAGCTCTTACATATGAAGGGTTGTCAGATTTTAAAACTTAGCTCTTCTGCATACAGATGATTTTAAATCTCCACATTGTTTCCAGTTGCAATATTTTGCAGTTTCAAAAGAACAGAAATGCAGGATCCTTAAGAACACTGTACTAGATTCCCCAGTGGATGTCATCTTTTGCTAATAGCGGGGGGGTTTTTTGACCATTCTAAATACCAAATGTTCTGTTTATGTTCCTGTGAGGGAACCCTGACATGACCCTCCGGAACCAGAGTATTCTGCATGACTTGTTCTCAGTTTGAATCTAGATTTGCTCCAGAGATAATTATCCTGTATAATTTCCTGGTATTTATCCATCTCATTCAGTGCTGGATGTTTGGATTTTGCATTTGAATTTTGAAGTACTGAGCCAGCAATGCATTTCGGGATTTAATTGTAATTTTAAATTTTGTATCAATGAGACTGATATGCCTAAGGAACTGGTGTACAATAACTAAAGAAAGATTGTCTAGTGAAGTATTTAAAATTAATTGGGTAGCTTATATGTCAGGTTTTATAGTTTTATTATAAATATTGACTTGCGTTTGTTTCTTGTATGATGAATATTTTTGAGTCGCTTTGTTACTAAAAGTAAAGGCTTTCCTCCACAACAAAATGGGGCCAATTAGCATCTTCTGCTTGGTTTTGGGGTTTTTTCTTACTGTGCATTGGTGTTTTGCAATGACAAAGGGTGATTTATTGTAATGGGTACGAAGAGAAAATTAATTCCTGTTTCACCTATAAGGTCTGGTTTGAAAGCTTAAAAAGTAGGTTATAAAGATCTCATGCACTGTGTTGTCTATGAATGGCAAAGGAAATAGGCCCAACAAAAAGCAGTATTCTTGTATGGTTTTAGAAAAAGACTGAAAGAAGCATTATGGTATTCATTCTGATGTCTGCCTCAGAGTTTCTTTATTAATTAATATGGCCTCCTAAGTCTGAACAGATGCCTGGATTTTGTAAAGATCACTTCGAATAGGAGACACTGTAGCATTTGACTTCTGAGGCTCTGCTAATCATCAGCTTTTGAGGTTATCGTAGAAGTGCCAGTCACTACTCGAATGGAGATAAAATTCCCGTCTGACCTGGTACCTGTCATGACTTTCTATGGGTAATACTCTGATATTAAAATAGGACGTTTGGCATTTGACACTTCTAACCTGTAGCAGCAAAAGCCTGAGTGTGAAGGATTGTTCCCACGAGATAGCTGCCTTCGCACATTTGGAGGTGGACGTGGTGGCCCTCGCATTTCTCCGGCATGTAGGAGCCTTGTGCGGCTGCAGATTCCCTCACTGCTACATGCTTTCCATTGACTGGCAGGGTCCAGCAAGTCCATGTGTGCGTTAGACTGTGTGATAAAAGTAATAGATCTAAAATCTTTTTCCAGTCATTTTTAAAGTTTGAAAGTTGTAGGTTTTAAAACTTGGGGTGATAGAAAGGGACTGAAACAAAAGGTTGCACCTTTGCTGTTCTTTTGTGTTTTGCTTTAGACATGTATACTAAGAGGGGAGTATCTACAATTTGCACTGTAATATGCACAAATTCACAGTTGTAGTAACACATGGAGCCTCAGATTAATATTTAGGAAAGATTTCCTGTGTGTTCTGGGGACCCTAGCTTCTGGGGACCCTAGCTTTTCCATGCGGTCCCTCTGAAATTTTGCTAGTCTTCACACTTTTCCTTGGAGATCAAAAGCGTGCATCTGGCTCCCTCTAAGTGTTGTTATTGATAGTTCTTAAATGTTACCAGGCTGGGCCTGTGCAGAAATTATCTCTGAAGCGACTGTCTTGTTTTAGTCCTAACCTAGTGAGCAGTAAGTATCAAGACAGTGATATAGGTCTGCTGGGATGTTGTATAGCTTATCTAAGACTCGGTATTTTTACAGTTGTAAGGCTGTTCCTCTGTTATGTTGTTTTGATGTTTGACTTCTGTCTACTTTGGCTCCTAATTGAGATAAAAATGGAAAGACAGAGGAGCCATGGTTCTCAGCTTCTTTAAGGAATCATATGCTTGTGGCACCAGGTGATTTGAACACAGATATTGCCTGTGACAGGAAAATGCGAAAGTAAATAATAGAGAGGAGTCTTGAATGAAATATTGTCTTGTGCAGAGGATAAGCTTAAGATCAATGATCCTCCATAAATTCATCTCTGTTTTTAAGACTTGCTCAATGTACTTGTCTGCTGCACTGGATTAATTTTTACTTTTTGAGACACAGCCAGATTTCAAAGTATACAAATTTTGTTACATGGCAGAAAAATTCTATTAATCTGTAATATCACATCACGTTTACATACTCTGTTGTCAGACTTGATGACTTCAGCAATATCCATATCTTGATAAAAGTGCCTCTATGCTTTTGGAAATGCTTCTGTTGCACGACTATGGAATTTTCCCTAAGCTATGTGCTAGTCTGGCATCTCATCAAGTGGTTTTGACTTTTCATTGGGTTTCATGATTTAACCTTCTAGTGATTCTATTTAATCTAGAGATTTAAAATAGTTCTTATTCTCTTGTTATTTAATAATGACTGTTTCTCCTGCAGGCACCCTGTGGAACTTGTCCTCCTATGAGCCCCTGAAGATGGTCATCATCAACCATGGTCTGCAGACGCTTACCAATGAGGTGATTATACCACATTCAGGTTGGGAGAGTGAGCCGAATGAGGACTCTAAGCCTCGTGATGCCGAGTGGACAACTGTCTTCAAGAACACTTCTGGTTGCTTACGGTAAGGCAGAACTGTGGAGTATTAATCTGTTCACCACATTCCGTGTTTAGGATTTTGTTACTTTATTTCAAATCAAAATAATTTTATCATATATCTTTAATTTTGTAGAGATATTCCCATTTCAGTGGGCACAATAGTAATGCTTGGAGATACTTGCCTGCCATGAACTCTCTTGTTGCAGAGCTTGTCAACGTAGGTCTGTCTGGTGGGGTCAATGTGAAGACTAGGTCATTTATCCAGGTTAGGGGGAGTGGATCTATATAGGGAGGTGTATAATACAATGGAGAGTGACCCAGGTAAGGTTAACTGTCAAGCTAAGTACAAAAAAAAGCATTTTTGCAGTGCAAACTGTGCCATATGTACTGAGAATCACACTTCTCATTTGTTGATTGTGTTCTGATCAGCGGGCTGTTTCTACAAATTTTGAGTATCTTCTCAGCTTCCCTTGGTGGTGCTGGTTTTATTTATTTGAAAAGTGTGTTTTCAAACAAATCTGTTCTTGGTTTCTTCTTGGTTTTAGGCTTTCTCCTATCAAAAGGCTTTTTTTTTTTTTTTTTTTTTTTAAGCTTTTTCTATAAAAAATTTTTTTTTTTTTTTTTTTTTTTTTTTTTTTTTTTTTTTTCAGATCTTGGGTAACTAGTTTCATGGAATTACACTGAGTGTGAAACATGGATCCAGTTTTAGCCACAAACATTTTTGTGGACACACTCCTATTTTAAACTAGAATGACTAAGGACTAGGGAAATTAGTTAAGAACCTGAACTGCTGACCATTTAGGAATCTTACAAAATAGCCTTTTCTGGTTAGAAATTGTATTTGCATTTCTGAGAGCACCTTGAGAGTAGGACAGTAGATGCTGGAAGCTGGGGTCAGGAGGAATGCTAATGCAGTCTGAAAACCTGAGGAACCAATGTTCCCTAAGCAATGTCTTTCGTTTTGCTTTTCTTTGAGATAAAATGGTGGAGATGCCCTGCTAGATTCTTCAGCTTTATGATGAAGTCAATTACTTTGAACAAAACTAATAAAGATTTGGCATCATACCTTCTGTTGCTCTGAAGTATACTTCTGTCAGATTTCTACTGATGAATGCATCTTCAGAAGTTGGTTCATTTCTGTTTCTTGGGCTTGTGGTCTCTAAATTGCAGTAAGTATTCCCCTGAGTAACTTCACAAATGAAGAAGGTAATGAAAAGTGTTCTGAAAGTGCACATTACTGAAATTATTTGCAGTCCCACTGGAAACTTAAGGTCCTTTAAGTAGGCTCCAGACATCGTAGGTTTTTACTTACTAGTGTCTCATTTTCTAATGGTGTTCTGGAAGAGGAAATTAGTCATGCAGGGGGATAAAAGGATTACCTGAATGAATATGAGACTCTCCAGTAAGCATAGACAATAAATTGATCATTAGTAGACTAACCCAATCCACATCATAATTTTTTATTAGTATGTGCAGTGTCTTGATCCACTTGAACTTCTACATTCCAGGATAGCTTTGGGTTGGTTGGTTGGTTGGTTGGGGTGGTTTTTTAATTTTTAAAGTAAGGTACTGGTTTTACAGGACATGCAAAAAGGTTGTGCCACTTTGGACATTGTATTCTTAAGGCTAATGAAGAAGGGTGTGGAGCATAGTAGTACTTAGATACATTAGACAATTTGAAATTTTGGTAATTAAAAGCAGTCCTGGTGCACTTCAGATGCATTGGGACAGCAGCCAGTGAATGGTGACTGCTTCTGTTGTTGAAGGGAGGAAATGTATTTCAGTCCTTTCATCTGTAGTCCCTGCTGTCATAGTCATGTGAGACTATGTGCTTCCTTATGGAAAATTTGAAGCTTCAGTCAGATGTGGGGCGAGGTGATTTCATGCTTGAAAGTAGTTGCTTAAGGTAAATGGAGACATGATGGCAGGTTAGCAGGGAAAGGTAATCTGAAAAAGGTGGTTTGTCCATGTCTCTCTGCTGTGCCGTGGAGAGAGCAACGTCTTGCATAGGAGGGAGGTAGAACTGTCTCCTTATTTCTTGCAATGAGCTAAAGTGAGCCCAGGACAACAAAAATGCAGGAGTAGATGAGATACGAGCTGTCTTTCAGTTGTTCGTACTTCATTACAGTGTCAGTGATATTACATACCTTTTGTAGAGCGCTTCTGGATCTACGGATAAAAGTGGACATATCAAAAGTAATTATCATTACTACTGTTGGAAATAATTTTGCATTGTTTGTTGAAATCCTCTGCAGCTCATCCTTAAAAGCACCAGCAAGATAAGATAGTTAACACCAGCAGAGAATAAATTGTTGCAGCCATCTGTCTGACATACGTCAGTGTTTAAAAACTCCTTTCCATACTCTTCTCTTGTTGACATGGTAGCTGGTTCTAGAAATTCAGTTTTCTGTGAATGGAGCTTATTGCAGTTTACAAACTGTTTACCAATTTGATATTTAATTGGGGGACTGGTCCTCTTGATGGCATGCCAGCCTCCTTTGTCCCCTTTGAAAGTGAGCCTCAGGTGTGTGCTGTGTTGTCCTCCAAAACAACTGAGAGATTCTTTGAGCTTCTGAGGTTTCAGATGTCCTTGCAGTTTAGATCCAAGCAAAAGATAGGCATTATGCATGCAGGATGGCATTCGTTTCAGTATCGTTTTTGCCGCTACTGAAGTTTATCAACAGATGTGGGCGAGTTTGTTTCAAACTCAGTGATTCACAGCGTGAACTGCCAGTTAATTATTTGCGCTTTTTTTAACACTGCTTTCTGATCTTTACTTTGTTCTTAATGTAGCTCTTCCCTTTGATAGTGCAGAGCCTTGAAACACTTACTTCAGAATAGTTGAAAACAACTAACTTTAAAAAAAAAAAAAAAAACCCAAAAAAACCAAAACCAACTAATTAACACTTTACCTCTTAAAATCCCAATCCATCCCACTTTCCTGTCCAGTCCTGTCCTGTCTACAATACCTTTTTTCCTGTGTAATTCTTAAGTCTCTCTCTCCCTCCTCACTTGGGGAGTTCTGGTGCTGGTGTATGTCCAGATCCCTCTAGGGCAGGGTGAATTAAATCTTAAATAGTCAACTTGGACTGCTTGTGCCAAAGGGTGGCTTAATGTCTGATATTAGCAGCACAGATAGCATAGTGCTGCAGGTATATGTGGGATGGAAGGATGCTTTAGCAGAGGGGTCAGTAATTGGGGCCAGTCTCTTAGCAGACATTTGTACCTGCACCAGCGTTGCTTTACTTAGGAATGAACTTTGCAAGATAAGCGACATGAGCCATGTACCCTTTTGCCTCTAACCCAAAGCTAAGGTAGCTTACTGGCTTTGTATAGCCCTGACTTCTGCCCACTTTCTAAAGTAATAAAAATCCCTGTATGTTGCTTGATGTTGATTTTAGTCTGTATGGCCAAGGGACTTGTGCTGAGGAATGGATCTGTCAGAGCTGCTATCTGAGAGGGCCCTGTGCATGGCACCGAGTAGTGTTAGACCTGGTCGTTTACAAGCTGGAAATCAGAGAAACTGTGCAGAGTTTATCATCAAGAGTACCATTCAAATACTATCTCTTTTGCCATAAGTTAAATAACTCTGGGATTATCTATGATACTTAGTGATGTCCATACCAAACTACTGTAGATAACTGACAATGTGTATGTAGCCAGTAAGAATCAAAGGAAGAAAAGGCACCTGGTTACGGTTTATATTGACTTTGGAGACGAGTGTTTATTTTAATGGCTTCTTCTAAAGTCAAGCCTTCTCCTATGACTGTGGCCATTGTAAGAGATCTTTTGAATCCTGATACCATCTGGAACATAATGAGTGGATTCTGTGTGCCGTCCTACTCTGTACTTACTTGAGTTGCCAAAAACTGTCTTCAAACAAATGTTTTGGGGATACTGTATTCCCCTTTGCAAAATAAAGACTTGGCAGCACAGCCAGTTTGCAAACTATGATCTGGTAATGAAATATATGGCATGCTTTTTCTGTAATCTTTACCGAGAACCACTGAAGTTTTCAGAAACTAGTGCAGATGATGACACTTTATCTACATTCTTGTCCTGAGATCAAGAAGATGTTTCCTCTTCCATTGCTATGTTTTGTTTATAGGAAAAGACACAAAATGATGAATGGATCTGCAATGTTGGTAATAATTTTACTACTTAAAACAGTTATGAGCCTTGTGATAAATGCTATCTTAGGTGTAATTTTATAAAATAAATGTATTCTTATATTCTGTTGAACCTGTTGAGAGAAATAGGTATGGTGGAAATCTGGAAAGGAATAGTAAAAAAGCAAGGCAAAGATTGACTTACTGAAATTAAGTGGATTTTTGGTTGTGGAAAAGTAGGACTGGGGAAGAAGTAAGGAAGATATTTTCTAGGAGAATCACTAAATATGCACAGATGTTCCTTTATTTCATTTGGTGTACAAGTTTCATGTTTTTGCATTGTATTTTATTCTTTTAGGTACATGGAGAATGTTTCTTCTAGGTACTGCCTTTTTTTTTTTTTTCACTTCTCTTTAAACCCCTAAATACCTACTGGGATTTGCAGTCCAGAAGCATTTGGTTTTACATTGTACTCTCTTCCAGTTTTGGTGCATCTTAACAAGGCCATTTCATGATTCTTCCTGCAACTTTGACCAAGACATTAAGGTGCGTTAGGAGAAGAGTACAAGTTGAATTGCTTGTGGGATTGATGGAGCTAAGGCTGGCTCACGTGCACCCAGGCGGTGCCAGAGACCTTCGCTGTGTCTCCAGGTTTCTCCCAAATTGCTTCTCTGCTTTAGAGGGGAAGTGCCACATCTGTAGGTCAGGGAGTGCTGCTGCAGTCACAGCATCCCTCTCATTTCCTGTGTAGATATCCACCATGGAAGCAGCAAGGATTTAAATGGTTTAAAAATTAAATTCATTCTGGGTTTAATTGCTGTTTTCTGCCTAATTACTTTTAATTCTCCCTTGGATTTTTTCACTTCGAAGAGGACAGAGTAGAACTTAGTTCCTAAATTGCCAACTTTCTAGCCTG